TTCTTCGGGGAGGGTAAGAGTCCGGAAATTTGGGGTTACTGGAGGAGGGTTAATTATTGGTCTTTGACCTTTTGTGTTTGGTATCTGGTCCAGGGGATTTGTTGATCTATGCTGATGGGGGTTTTCTTTACTTTGTCTCCATATAAACTGTGTGATGCCGCCTCTTCCCCATAGGTTGGGGGGGGTTCTCCTATTTTAATTCATGGCTTGCATACACCCCGCCCAATGCTTTGATTAGTCTTTCCCTGGTGGTGGCTCATTTTGACTTGTCTGATTCCTACTGTGGATAATGTGCTTGAGATGAACCTGAACTTTTCTGGGGGAAGCCCCTTGTGGCTCAATGAAGCTGTTACACTGATTCAGTGCCATACTACTAGGTGCCATCAGTCAGAGTTCTTATTGGTCTACCAGGGACTATGAGCCAGTACCTGGCCCCTCTCAGAGAGGCGCAGGGAGTGGTGGTACTATAAACACCTTACATTTAAAGTTATGTCTGCTACCACCTGGGAAAGCAGCCAGAAACTCAGCAAAACAAACCAGACCACTGCATGGTTAGTGAGACCTCGGCCTCAAAACTGCCAAAAGGATTACCCCAACAACATATACAAACTATCGAAAATTCGTGAAACTAGCACTCGCTAGAACACACCACCTCTTCCCCTTGTTTGGGGGCAAGGAGGCATGCCCGGCCAGCTGGCTGCCTCCACCTCCAGTTTTTATTGTGTGTGCCTCGTCACCTGTTCTAGTCATTCTGGCTCCAGTCTCCCATTTTTCAAGTGGTGTTTTACCTTTGAGGTTGTTAGTGTACACATTTGTGTAGTGTGAGCCAGGAGTTAGTGTTTGGAGCTGTATGTGTTCAGGGTTTTCTTCCCTCTGTGCACCTTAAGTGCTGCCCTTGCACAGTCTAGGTTGTTTTACATGGGATGTTCGGGATGTACTTCCTTAGAGGATCTCCTTGCTTGGAGTCGCTCTCACCATTCAGGTAAGCTGGTGGTCTAGGACTGTCTGTCTTTCCTCGGGTTGGGAGTGGTCTTTGCTGGTGGGGTGCACAGTGGTTTGCAAGACCTAATAGGCACATCGAGGTGGGCCCCCAGATTATAATCTGATCAGTACCACGTTCTACTTGGTTGCTTGTTCTCCGCGGTTTACATGGTTGATACCTGGTTGATGGGGTTCTGGGAGTTCTTCTACTCCCCAAGCCGGCCCAATCCAGACTTGAGAGTTTGGTCCACCAGGCTGTTGCTTGGAGCGGCCCGCAGGCCCACATATCCACCACAGCCCGGTTGGTCCAGCACTCCTTGAAGGAAACAATCTAGTTTCCTCTTGAAGATGTCCACGGTTGTTCCTGTAATATTTCTGATGCTTGCTGGTTTAGTCTTGGGAGTTCTGGCTTTTAAATTTTTGTCTCTTTATAGGGGATTTTGAGTAGATTTGCTCTTTCTGCTTGGGGCCCTTTTCCATTTACCTTTATTAGGTTTTACTTAGGGTTTTGTGTGGATAACCCCCCCTTGTTTCCCAGACCCTGGGAAAACTTCCTTGGGCTCATCCACCTGGCGACATTCATAAGTTTTGCCTCTGCCATACTGTCTCTTGGATTAGTGACTCCTTCAACGTGGAGTTTTGTGGGACTTGTTCCACCCATGTGACTCATCACTATGAAGAAAGCAGAAATTCATCTTACATCGCATAAAAAGCATCTTACCCATTCACCTCTTGAAGTTCTGAGGTTTCAGGCGGCAACCACTTTGTGCTTTCGGATTTGTCTTGCAGTGATCTACATTGTGTGCCCAGTTGGATGCCTCGGATTTGGTGTTTAGGAACTTGGATTTGGAGGTGCTGTCCACACCACCTCTTCCTTTCCCAGTGGGGTCAGTTTCGCCCTTCTCCTGCTCCCCTGCTTTCGGCTCTGAAGGGTTTGAGGCTTTCGGAATTGCAGCAGGGCTTATCTTGGGATGTGGCTTGGGCTGATCCAGAGTTTGCCCCTTCCTACATGGGTGCAGAGGCAATTGAGCCTCTCGCTGCTGCCAAAGCTTCTGGGTCTTTCCAGTCTACTCCTTCTTTTGAGGCATGGGCAACCTTGGATCCCACATTTGTTCCAGGTGGTGGGCGTGGATGAGGGCTCTGCCCCGTGACCCTCTTCTGCAGTTCCCAGGGCCCTTGGGTCCTATTTGATCCTTTGTGGGCCTTCGTGCCTTCCATGGAGGGTCTTTTGTTGCACGGTGTGGAGTTTTCTTATCCCTCTTCTCTGTACAAGTTTGAGTTTAGTGCGACTCCCTCCAGAGTTCGTTTCTGTGTTCCTGGATTCTTCGGATTTGTCCTTTCGGAGGTTTCCTTCTTCCTGGATTCCTGTCGGAGGCTCAGGAAGCCCGTTGTGCATACCTTCTGCGTGACTCAGTTTATGCCTCGGTTATAGACTGGGCTTCTTTTGAGTTTGGCTCTTCCTTCCCTTACTGGGTGCATGTCATGGTTCAGGAGTCATCCTGGGTGGCAGACTGTCCTTTGTTTTCCCCTTGGGGTTTATTGACTACCTCTTGACAACCTGTTGAAGATTCAAAGGAATAGTATTCCCCATGGCCTGGTCTCTGACCAGACCTCCTGGGGCCGATTCACGAAGGAGTTACACAAGTACTTACGAACGTGTACATCTCTCCTCAATCTTTGACGGCTTTGGTTACATTTATTTAACAGTTTACAAGCATGAAAATTTCCCAATCAACTGTTGTTATTGTTATAAACAGCCTCCTGGTGCTTCGGAGCTCATTAACTGTTTAATAATTGTAAACAAAGACGCTAAAGATTGAGAAAAGATGTACAGGTTCGTAAGTGCTTGCGTAACTGCTTCGTGAATCTGGCCCCTGGTTGCTGGTCTGATGAACCAGGCTGATCAGTGTGGCTGCTCACAGCATGATGTAGAAGTCACAGCCAGGTTGAACAGGTATTCTTTATAGGTGCTTGTCGAGTTCTCTGTTGAACACTGCAAGAGGTTGGCTAGTTATGTCCTGTATGTGGAGGGGAAGAGTGTTGAAAAGTCTTGGACCTTTGATGTTGACAGTTCTCTCTTAATGTGCCCGTTGCACCTCTGCTTTTCAGTGGGGCTAATTTGCACATCCTTCTGGTCTCGTGTGATGTTATTTCTGTGAGCATACACAATTGGAACCAGTCATTCTAATATTTTCCAAGTGTAAATTATTATGAATCTCTCCTGCCTGCACTCTAGGTAATACAGATTTAACATATTTTAGATACATAAATACAGATTAATACAAATTAAAAATTTTTAGGCGGTCCCAGTAATTTAGATGTTTTATTGAGTGGATTCCAGCAGTAAACGGTCTTTGCACACACTCCAGGTGAGCAATGTCTCTAGCTTGAATGGGGGCTGTTAGTACGAAACAATATTCCACTCTAGAGAGCACTAATGGCTTAAAAGATATCATCATTGGCGTGGCATCTCTTGTTTGGAAAGTTCTTATTATCCAGCCTGTCATTTTTCTTGTAGTTGTGACAGCAATTCTGTTGTTCATTAAAAGCAAAGTCTTCCAACATGATTACTCCTAAATCTTTTACGTTGCTTTTCCTTTCAATGGTGTGGTTTGACTGTTTTATGTTTCTGCTTTGATGCTTTCAGTTTTTTTTATAGCGCAGTAACTGGAATTTATCCTCGTTAAACAACCTGTTATTTTCTGTGGCCCAATGAAAGACGTGATTAACATTATATTGGAGGATTGGTGTGTCCTCTACACGGTCTACTTCCAAGAATGGTTAGCAATGACATTATTCCTATCAAATTTTATTTGATAGGAATAATGTATTTGATAGGAATAATAATTCCTATTAAATTTTATTTGATAGGAATAATGCCATTACTAACCATTGCTTTGATTTCAGTCACAGGATAGATTGATTGATTTCAAGGATGGATTTTAATAATAGAATTGTATGTAACAGCTCAAATATCAGAGATGCTCACTGGGAGGGGGTAATTGTAGAGAAACAGTAAAGGGTAACAAATCTTTTACTAAAGTACGGTTCATCTGATTAACTGCAAAATTATTCTTAATGTAGCTAAATTAACTCATTTTTATTCATACAAATACAGTCCTTGTGGTGTTCAGAATGGGATAATGTTCCCACAATACCCAGCCCACATTTTCCAGAATATTTTATCATTCCTCTGAAGTTCTGGCACACATTAGGGAGTCCCTGGGAAGCATAATCATAATGATGTCTTATGACGGACGTCACGTGAGGTGCTCTGCCAGACGTAGGAATGCAATCACTTGGAATCTTTGTTCAATACACTGTTTACATCACCATTAAGAATGTAGGTTCATCCAAAAAATCCGCTTAATAATACACGTTCACAAGTATTGGGGCTTTCCTTCACCGTCCTTTAAACACACTGGTATTATAGTAAACTTCTCCATTAGTGCAGTGTTGTACTGTTGGAAGCAGCACATGGCCAGGATGTGTAAGATTCAGAAGTGCACAGACGATGCGTCACAATAACGTGGCTAAAGTATGTTGACCAGACCACACACTAGATGGTGAAGGGACGACGACGTTTCGGTCCGTCCTGGACCATTCTCAAGTCGATCGACTTGAGAATGGTCCAGGACGGACCGAAACCATCGTCGTCCCTTCACCTTCTAGTGTGTGGTCTGGTCATCAAGTGCACAGAAATCAACAGTCACTTCCGTAATGCCTCTCTAACAATAAATTTTGTTTACAACTAACTGTATAAGCATAGCAACATTTTTTAAGACTTTATAAGGTGGTATTCATGTTCGTAGTCAGTCTGACTCACAGCATTGGTTTTACCTAGTTTATCTGCTGTTAAATTGAAAAGGCATTATGTATGTAAGTTTATTTTCCTTGCCTTGTGAAGCTGTGCTAGAAAATAAACCTGCACTTCTAAGAAATGTTATTACTGTATTTTGTCAGGGTTGAAATGATCTACATATTTGCTAAGTGTGTACAGTATATTGGTTGTGTTACAGGGTTGGATGAATGAGTTAGAAGGGGACTACAGCCCAGACACATACCATGTGACTCTCACTCACTCTGTATTTGTAAGGCTTCAAGGATCCAAACTTCAAATTGATCATCCTAGAGGTTAGTTGGAAATTTCTTTGTATACAAAATATTTTGCAATATTTTTGATGGAAGATGGTCAGTTATTCAAGATGAAGCAATATTTCTTGCAGGTACATAATGCATGTTTTAGCAGATAGACTGTATATGTATTGAAAAATTATATTTATAATCATTAGTACAGTATTTTGCTTAATAATTATTTTATTCTTAATTTTCTATATCGAAAGTTTAGTACTGGTAATAAATAGTTCTATATTCTTCCTATTGAAGAGGTTAATCTATCACATAATTCCTTAAATTACTAGTACTATTAAAAATTTGCACAAAGAAATCACATTAATATGATGTATCAATGAGAAAATCGGAGCTATTAGGAGGATTCACTCCTGCACCCTGGGTACACTGAAGCCCACGCCTTAAACCACTGAACCACGATATGCTATAATCAATGTAACCTGGGATTCAGCTGAATTCACAAGGTCTTAAGGCATTGAGCTGATACCAAATCAAGATTTGGATTTAAATTGAGCTTTCAGGGTTAAAACTCCCATACCACACCAGAGTGCACACGTTAGGTGTAAAACTCTTGATTATCATTATTGTGATGCTTCAGGACCCCTTGTAGGTATGGTTGAATGCCACGTTACATTACCCAGTGGTCCAGTGGCATGTTCTTCAGAGAGCCGGTCAGCTGAGCGGACAGCACGCTGGACTTGTGATCCTGTGGTCCCGGGTTCGATCCCGGGCGCCGGCGAGAAACAATGAGCAAAGTTTCTTTCACCCTATGCCCTTGTTACCTAGCAGTAAAATAGGTACCTGGGTGTTAGTCAGCTGTCACAGGCTGCTTCCTGGGCGTGGAGGCCTGGTCGAGGACCGGGCCGCGGGGACACTAAAAAACCCTGAAATCATCTCAAGATAACCTCAAGACAAGTACCCAGGGGTGCAGGTTTGAATCCTACTCAAGGTTCCAACTTATTTTCTCATTAAAATAATTTATATCAAGATTTTGGTCATTTTATTCTTTGTATGCCATAGTTTTTATATAAAGGTATTATTCCAGAAAGTAACCTTTTATTTTAACACCTTTGCTGCCTGATGCCTCATATTCCGTTATAAAACCTAAATACGGAGTATGAGGGATGACGCAAACAGCGTCAATAATATAACAATTTGTAAAAATTCCATTTATTGTCCGAATACCATGGGACATGTTTTAAAATGAGCGGCAACTTCTTCCCATTTTCTATTCAGTATATCCCACTTGGCATCCTGACCATGCCGTGTGGGCACCCACCGTGCTGGAGGCTCGCTGTTCTCGTGACCTCGCTCGTGACCTATACTTTCCTAGAGTATAGGAAAGTGAGACTTGTATGTTCTTATATGCACACATTCCTTGAGAGCATTCTATTGCGAAGAATTTGATATAAAATTGAATGATGTATCACAGAAATTTAATTCAGAAAGCTAAAAGGAGTATGTACATTTGTGGGTGGTGGTGAGTTCACGTGCACCGCTCGGGCTACCTTGATGTGTGTGTGGTGGATCGCCCGCTGGGGCAACAAAAGTGTTAATTAACTTAATTAACCACTGCACTGTGCTATAATTAATTTTGATATTTGGCCGGTGCACAGAAAAAATTATTCCTTTAAAAAAAATTAATTTGACTGTACTGTACTACACTTATCGCTATGACTAGCAACAGGACTTGTTGTTGTTATCACATTCCTGTCGCTAAATCCTGAATATGAATTCATGTCCACTAAGTTAAGTTTTAAAGGAGCATGAGGTCATTTCACGATGCGAAGATGCAGGATACAATGGCTGGTTGCTGTATGTGTACACAGTACTTCATGCAGTGAATATTATAACTAACATTGTGTTCACTGATATCTGAATGTTGTACATAGTCTTTATCACAGTCAGGATCATCTATGACAATAAGAACACAAGAACAAAGGTAACTGCAGAAGGCCTATTGGCCCATATGAGGCAGCTCCTATTTATAAGAACATAAGAACAATGGTAACTGCAGAAGGCCTATTAGCCCATACGAGGCAGCTCCTATTTATAACTACCCAATCCCGCTCGTATACATATACATCGCGATGATACAGTATCAACACAAGATAATTGCAATTACTGGGTACTTATTTTATTCATCGCAGTTAAGTGGTGCTGTGGCCACTAGCTGCAGAGCAGTATTGTGAGCTCCTGCTGCATGCACCAGCCTTGGTCGCTCTCTCAGTACTGAGGTGCTCTCAGCCAGTAGGGATGCAGTCTATTATTTTCCCCAAGATGAGGTCTGTTTCCGAGTCCTGTGGCACAGGATGTGAGCCCTGTGCAGCTGCAGAAGTTTTGAATTGTTCCTTATACCTAAAAACACCTTAAGGCTCCATGTACACCACTGGTTGAGCCCCTTAAGGTGCTATGTACAGTGCAGGAGTTAAAGATGATTAACTAAACTAGGTTAAGCATATTTGGGTACAGACACTGTATGGATTGGATATCACTTTAACACAGCTGAGTAATAACAAGTCAAGGCTGGACCCGGGCCAGGCTTGGGGGAGAAGAACTCTTTCCAGGACCCACTCCAGGTATCCAGGTATACAACCTCAGTCTTAACTTTAGTAAATTTAATTTGTATCTATCACTGTTACGAACTTCTCCCATATTTAGCAGCAGTGCACCCCTGTGTACCATACCTGTACATTACTGTATTTCATCTTAGTTTTCTTGTCCTGCCATTGTTTTCTTGCCATCTGTAACATGGTTTGAGAGCAAATTCTTTCTCAAATTACCCTTGTGCAGGTTTCGTGATAGTTGGAGTTCGTATCGTCTATGAACACGTTTTGCCTATTGTCAGAATAATAGAACTTGTTAATCTGTTCATATCCCTTCATTTGAGGCATTTTTGCCTTTCATTTTCTTATTTCTTAGAGATACTGTACCTGCTCATTTTATTTAAAAATTTTTAGCCTGTATAAACCTTTCTTTTAACTTATTTGTGTCTTTGACATTTGTCATTGGAACATATTCAGTAATTAATATTACAGTAATAGATTCTTAAATTTTATTCTCATGGAATTGAGAAATCTTAATTTGCAATGGTTTTTCAGGGAAAGTTCCCAAACATGCCAGAATAAAAGAAGAAATTCGCAATAGTGTATTTACTCACCATCGAGAATATAACATTGCTGGCTGCCAAGTCATGCTCTTGCCACGAAATTTACCCCGTAGATGGTAAGTAGTACTTTTTTTTATGTATTAATGTTTATTTGGAAATAATTTATTAACCAGTCAGTGTATTTATTTAATAATTAGATATTCCCTTATGGACCTTAGAGTTTTACTGAATGCTTTCCTGGGGGGAGCCCCTTCGGCTCCCTGGAAATATCCGGGCTGATATGAATGCATTAGACCCTGGCATCAGTCAAACAAATGGAGTTCTATGCCTACCAGGGACCACGAGCCAAAACCTGGCCTCCTCAGAAAGGTACGAGGAGCAATGGCCTATAGAAACTCCCGTGTGATTAGAAGCATTCTAGGTCTGTCATTGACTGGGTCAGGTACCCAGAAAGGTAGGCAACCCACAACAAACCCTATCTGGTTTGATAATGGGTTGAGTCACAATAACGTGGCTAAATTATGTTGACCAGACATAATTTTGACGACACACAATCGATTTGAGAATGGCCCAGGACAGACTGAAGCGTCGTCGTCCCTTCACCTTCTAGTGTGTGGTCTGGTCAACATAATTCAGTGAAGAGTAGTCGAGTGTGGCACTTGCTGTCCTGCTTGTTTGAGTGTGGGGTCCAGCTCTCGTGATAGGGTTACACTTAATGCAAAGAATCTTAACTACTGTATGTGCCGTTTTGTTGTTGCCGCATCATACGCTGTAAAGTCAGCTTGTGTGTTTGCTTATCCATTTATAGAGCTGGGTAGTTTTCTAGTTCTTTGGGTTGTCTCGATTCATTTGCCTCTATTATTGAGCTAATTTTGGCATCATATGACATTAGCTGGAATGTGCATGGTGGTAGGTATTCGTTTTCTTTTTGGTGGCACTGTGTCATAGATCTCACTGATCAGGCAATTTAGGGTTTGGTAACCAGTTTTCCTGAAACCTTTCTATGAAAATTCTTCAATGTGTTATCCATATGGATTGTTGCACATGCATTGTCCATGGCCAAACAACCAAACAGAGGCTGTTTGGCTTGAAACACACTTTAGTGCACAGTTGATGCCTTCTGGAGGTCAGCCTTCAACCAGTTAGGCAGTGTACACTGTACATTTCATTAATAAACACAAGTACAATAAACACTGTTCACTATGACTTGCAGTATTATGGGTTTGTAAGGTTGTCTTGTATTTACACAAAGTAAGAAAATAATTTGTATATTGACAACCTACTGGCAGAGTACTACTGACATTTTTTCCATGGTTTTTATTTTTAATGGTTTCCAACATTGTGAGATATCCAATATATCTTGAGGTTATCGTGAGATGATTTCGGGGCTTTAGTGTCCCCGCGGCCCGGTCCTCGACCAGGCCTCCACCCCCAGGAAGCAGCCCGTGACAGCTGACTAACACCCAGGTACCTATTTTAGTGCTAGGTAACAGGGGCATAGGGTGAAAGAAACTCTGCCCATTGTTTCTCGCCGGCGCCTGGGATCGAACCCAGGACCACAGGATCACGAGTCCAGCGTGCTGTCCGCTCGGCCGACCTGCTCCCTTGATAACATTTTCTGCGTAAATGGCATCAGTGCCACATAAATTAGGTGGGTATGCGAGAAAAATTGTAGTTGGATTTCCGGCTTTAATTAAATGGTTGTTGATCTGCGAGTATAATTTAGTGATCGGTAATCCTTTAGGGATGCCAACAGGTGTACCACTGAAAAGATTAACAAAGAAACTGTCTTCTACTATATCATTTCAAAGAGGTAAATGTTTGCAGGTTATGGAGTCGTAAGTACCCACTGTGCATTCGTCTTCAGACTGGATCTAAGGAAAGCTCACCTTGCCCGCTGTCCATTGCTTCGACTCCCACAGGCTCGGCCCATGGCAGTCCCACACACACTGCAGGCTCCAGTATGTAATCATATTCAATATATTTGTAGTAACACTTCATATTGAAGTACACTTGAAATGCAACCACAGGATTTCAGGATAATTATATACTGTACAATTATTGTAGTTAATTTTGATAGTTTTCTTGAATACATTGTACTATCAAATTATATAATGTATAATGGTTATAGATAATGACTATAAATACAGATTATATAACAACTATCAACTAATCTTTGTAGAAAGATGATAAAAAGAATTCTGGTTGTTGTTTATATATAGATTGATGATACTGTACTGTACTGTATATGCACAAATACCTTGAATGGATTTATTGGGTCCAAACCTGTTCTGTTTTACTAGTTGTGGCCATTGTTTTGCTATTTATTGTTACAAATATAATCTGGCCCCCCAATGATGGAACACATTTTTGTGCATATATAACAAAAAAAGTTGTATAAAAATACATTTTAAATATAATGTTTACTTTTTGCTGAGAAGGGCTTATAAATCCTTAATTATTTGTGTAGTGGGAATGTGGATATACACAATGGTATAACTACTATATATTGTTCTAAACACACCAACACTACCTCATTACTGGACTTTCGATGTCCAGACTTAACGTAAATTAAAAAATAAATACATGCTTTTGCTGTATAAATCATTTATAAGCAGCCTTTCCCCATGCTTTAATTTCTCAGCATTTATTACTATTAACCATTAGCGTTAGTTCTTTTACGTGGCATTCTCCCCAGGCTTTTTTTTCTGGGGGAGCCCCTGGTGTCTTCTTGAAACTTATCTTGCTTAGATAGCTCCATCTAATGGATCATGTCAGTTGCAGGAGTTGTGTTTGGCCTTCCAGGGACCAGAGCAAGAGTCTTGACCCCTTTTTTTTCCTGTCAGGAAAAGTATCCACAAAGTTGGCAAGGTCTTTACAGACAACTAGAGGAGTTCTCAGAAAATGAAGCCTCAAATTTGCCACACAACTCGGCAAATGATTCAGACAAAACGAAGAGATTCACTAAAAACTAGCTCGAATCCATTAGTACCAATAGCTGCCATCAGGCAGCCCAGCCCCATTCCACAGCCAGCTTACCTGATGAGTTCCGTCTCTGATGTTACGATGGTTACTACTACCTGTTGTGCCCCTGTCCATCAGTTGTGGAAAGCCCCTCTGCTTTCAGCTAAATGCAAGCCGTCCTTGGACTTCATTCATCCTGCTAGAACCATTTGCTTGACTTTTGTTCCTTTATTTTGGTATTAGCTTCATGTGATGTTTCATCTCTGGCTTTATTGTGTGGGCTTGGCTCCTATTGCACCTTGAGTTGCATGTGTTCAGGGTTCCCTTCCCTGCGTGTTCGCTAGCACTAGCTTTGTACTGGCCGAGTTACTTTTCTGGTGTGTTCTGGGGGTTTTCCCTCCGAGAGGTCAGGTCACCAGAGTGGAGAGCCTTGCCGTAACTCCTCTATGTGAACCCCTTGGCTGGTGGCGTTCTGTTGGTCGAGTTTAGGGTGTACTGGGGTTCGTGGTCTTCCTTATACGGCACCTCAAAATTTCTGTTCCTAGCCTAGGAGTTTTGGGTGTGTTTGGGGCTTGTTTAGCGAGTAGTCCCAATGCCTGGGTATCCTGTTTGGCTAGTTACTTGCAGGCCCTGGCGATTTTCCTGCTGGTCTCTGGCATAGCTCACTATAGATAGCCCGTTGATCCCGTGCGAGCTCTTTGCAAGCTTGACGGGTGTTTGTCATCCTTGCTACCTGGCGATGATCATTCTCTTTGCCTCATACATGCTGCCAGCTGGGTTGGTGACACCTACCAACCTGAGTCTGTATGATATTTCACTAGGTCACTTCCTTGACTGATCTGTGACGTAACATTATTGACAGGTCAATGCATCATTGCACTTGGAAAAAGTGGTAAAAACATTAAAAATAGGATGAAAATATATTAATGGATGCAGTTAAAACTTGTTGAAAAATATGTATTGGCGGTTTTGGTTCCTTCGGAAACGTCCCTTCCGCCTCTCTCGCGATCACTGGGTTCGGCCTCCAGGTGCCTTACATCCGCTGCTGCGTCACCAGCTTCCTCTTCAGGTTTTTAGTTTTTTTTTTTGGTGCCTTGGCTCGCTCGTATGTGTTCACAGACGCGTCGTCTCTTGTATGTATGAAGTTTCATACGACAGTATGAAGTTTCTTAGTAGCGATCTTTTCGCCAGTTTCTCTTCATAGGTTGTCTTCTATTTCGGATTGGGATCGGGTTGTCTTGTAGTTTCATTCTTGGCTTTTTCAGGATCGTTATTTGATGCCGAATACTGTCGCCTCTTATCGTGTGGCGCTGGCGGAGTCGCTTCAGCTTGCATTAGGCGTGGATGTAACTTCCACCCCGTTCCGTAAGCTCTCATGTTTTGTTTCACCTCCGGCCTGCAAATGCGCCACCTGATCCATCCTGGTCCTTGGACCGGGTGCTATTTTTCTCTCACCACCTTAGTTTTTGGTGGCCTCTTCGGTTCAAGATTGTTTTTCTAAGGTGCTGTTTCTGTTAGCATTGGCCTCTGGGGGTTGGATGGATAAGCTTCACGCTCTCTTCCAGCAGAGGGATTTCTGCTCTTTCAGTCCTGGTGGTTGGTTTGTTTGGTTGTAGCTGTCTCCTTTTCTATTGAAGAACGAGACAGCGGCTTTTCGGAGGGGGCCCTTGGGTCATTGAAGCATGGTTGGTCAGGTCGGGGTTGCATCATGTGTTGTGTTGGGTTGCAGCTCATTGCTGTTATCTGCTCGTCTCTGCTTCTGTGGCCGGGGACACTCTTTAAGTTGCTACAGTTTCCCTCATTCCCCGTCCCAGAGCTCGGGTCTCCCAGGTCGTCTGCAAGGTGAGCCGGTCGGCCGAGTGGACAGCACGCTGGACTTGTGATCCTGTGGTCCTGGGTTCGATCCCAGGTGCTGGCGAGAAACAATGGGCAGAGTTTTTTCACCCTAAGCCCCTGTTACCTAGCAGTAAAATAGGTACCTGGGTGTTAGTCAGCTGTCACAGGCTGCTTCCTGGGGGTGGAGGCCTGGTCGAGGACCAGGCTGCGGGGACACTAAAAAGCCCCGAAATCATCTCAAGATAACCTCAAGAAGGTTATTAAGTCTAGGCAGCATGCAGTCTACCTTCATGCCCATGATGATTGTAAGTTTGCTGCTTTGGGTGCTGTGTTTGGCAACATGTCTTGAGCTGACATTTGGGCATGGTTTTGTAGGTCAAACAAGGTCCTGGACACCCGGCATTTAGTAAATGTTCCTGATCCCGGTCGTTCATGTGTGGCTTTGGGTCGCAGGTTGCTGCCAGTTGTCTCGACTTCGAACTGAGTAGAAAGTGGTGGCTACCTCCCGAGTAAGTCCCTCCTTTACTTATCTTTGGTTAGGTAGTTCCAGGAAGCCGGAGGGGGCTCCCCACAGAAAACCAGCATTTCCCCCTCCAACATTTTATGAATAATTTCTCGACAGATCTTGGGCGGCAGGGTAGTACTGAAAGTGGAGAAGGAAATTGGAGCTTGGATAACAATAAATCTTCCGGAGAAGATGATCTACTGACGTCATCTCTGGATATGGCTTCATTTGAGGAAGTAACACAGGACATGTGCCAAGAGAAGTCTTTGTACCTCTTTGCTCGATCTGATCGGGAAAAGGATGATTGGTAAGACTGGTGAGCCATTGAAGAGTATATAATAAGCAAAGTATTTAAGTTGCATAAAGTATTATTTACTGTGGCTTGGTCATCTTTTTTATTAGAAATGTTCAGAAATCACATTATAATTGTAACTATTTATGATACTGTACTTAAATTGTATCTTTTTACATTAATATGTCATGGTCAGCAATGTTTTACAATTCATTATTTCTGGAGGCACCTCGAGTGAAAAGATAAAAAACTGCAGTACAGTATTTTCGTGTGTTAAAATCCAGCATTCTTCATTTGATTAGGTTTAGACGCTTAGTAGCAGCATCAGAACTTGCTTTGCCTCCAGAGTCCTCACCCAGTCACAAACCTGTAACTCAAGAAGTGGGAGATACTGTTCTTCTGGAGGGGATACCAGAAGTCCCTTTGAACCTCGGCAAAGAACAGCAGCAACAGGCAAGTTCAAACCACCGTGAAGTTAAAAAACTAATTTAAAATAATTGCATGTGACTTTGATTTTGGGTAAAATTTGGTGGAGTTTTTGCATGGTTCTTTTGTGAATATCATCTACAGCAGACTTTGATTTTGGGTAAAATTGGTGGCGTTTATGTGTGGATCTTTTGTGAATATCCTCTACAGCACTTTGTTGTAATAATTTGATTATTTTTTCATAGTGCCATATATTAAAATATGATTTGAGTGGCACTCATGGAATACTAATGAAGTGGCAAAGGACATCAAATATAAATCGTGAGATTCATGCTATAGAAAATGATAGCATGGAAAATGACATACCATACTCTGTATAGGTATTGTGTTTTTGTCTATTTGTGCAGTTAAACCCCAAAGGTAAATTTGGTGTACCTTTTAACTTGGCTCTCTTCATCAGGGTGGACTAGTGCACTTGCTGCTGCTGTCTGATGCCCGTATTGATAATTATATCATAAAATGATATGTTGATATTGTTATATCATAAAATTTTACATTGATATTGTTATATAAAAATGATATATTGATATTGTTTTATTACAAAATAACAATTTCATTGGTAAGTTGTTATACAGGTATCATAAAATATCAAATTAAAGCCATAGCCTGATAAAGTATTGGTTGTGCTGTTCAAAAGGCGAATATACAAGGCGGAGAGATGAGCGGGATGACGGGAAAGGCACTAGACTGGCCGTGGGCGTACTTGAAAGACAGGAAGTAAAGGGTCATAGTCAGAGAGAATGTGTCAGGCTGGAGAGAAATAGAAAGTGGCATTCCACAAGGCTCTGTTCTAGGACCTTTGCTGTTTTTAAATTGTTGTAAATGACCTCAGGTGGCGTGAGCTCGTACATGTTGATGTTTCCAAGTGACGTCCAATTAATGAGGAGAGTAATAACTCGAGAAGACTGTAGGGTTCTACAAGGAAGACCTTAACAGGAGTAGGCAGATAAATGGTTGCTGGAATTAAATCTAAATAATTGTCAAGTAATTAAAATGGGTAAGGGAGATAGGAAACCTGTCTAACTACACAGAAAGAGAAAATGACCTGGGAGTAAACATATTCCCAACACTAACACCAGAAGCTCGTGGGAGCAGGATAACAGCAGCAAATGGGGAAGTTAGTGAACATAAGGAATGACATTTAAGAATCTAAACAAGAAAATTTTCAAGTCCATACCCACTGCCTATGAGAGACAACGTGAGTAAGTAGCACCAGCTTGGAACCCCACACCTTGTAAAGCTTAAGCCTGAGAAAGTTCAGAGGTTTGCAGCTAGCCTAGTACCAGAAATGAAAGGCCTCAGCTTTGAGGACTGGTTGAGAGAATTCCACCTCACAACCATAGAGGATAAAAGAAACTGAGGGAATATGATAACTAAATGTGAGATCTTGAGGGAAATAAAGTGGATCAAGGAAGCCTATTTAAATTAAAAAGAGGTAGGACAAGGGGGAACATTGGTAGAAATTGGACATGCAATTGAGTTGAAGAGATGCAAGAAAGTTCTTGTTCCCTGTACATTGGAGGAAGGCAAGTGGAAGGCATTGAAGGAAAAGGTTGTTGAATCCAATTCCATCCATAACTTTAAAAAAGAAATATGATGAAAACATTAATGTTGAGACAGGTAATTAGCACATCAGGTATGAATGGCTAGGTGGGGCATAAAGAATTAGATCTCTCTTGCATAGTTACCAATTGGCAAGCACTGCAACACAGACGCTTTGGGTAATTCGCAGTCCTCGTGGCACAGTGGTAAAGCTCTCGTCCAGTGTTTCGCGAGGCGAGTGCTCGATACCGTATCCTGGCCGTGGAGTATTGACTGGCTGCCAATCCTTAACTGTATCCTCTGTTCACCCTGCAGTGAATGGGTAACTGCTTGTTAAACAACTTGTCGGGTCATATTCCAGGGTAAATTAGGATTAAGGACTTGCCCGAAATGCTACACGTGTTGGTGGCTTTACAAGAATGTAAGAACTATTGTTTATATAAATAAAAATAATAAAAATTACCTGCGAGAGGGTAGACCGGCACTCTTCTCTATCAGTAGACTACATCATGGTTGATTGTAAGAAATATAATTAACACTTTCGCTCGGGGATGACGCAGCATTGCGTCATCCGTTTACTGGCGGTAATGCCGGGGATGACGCAGCATTGCGTCATCCACTTTAAAAATTCGCCAAAAATCAGGTTTGTATCCGATTTTTTGGGGACTGGTTTTAAAATGTGCGCCGATGTCTTCCCATTTCCTTTGTTGAGCCTCGTGGCCCTCAGGCGGCTTGGCACACGCCGTGGGCCCATTGTCTTTGCTCCACTGTTGTGACCAATGTCGTCTCCCCTCGCATCTCAAACGTGTGAACATTTCGGCTATTTTCCGTGGCTATATTTCTTACTGCGGCTTTAGAAACTATCTACGCTTACTCCACGATGGATAGTAATCATGAACAAGGCCCTTCCAGGAAGAAAATTGCGAAAGAAAGGCTTGAAAAGGGTGGGAATTGGGAGTGTAGTAGGAAGGCCTCTGAGCGCTCACTCACGGCTAACGCGTGGCCCGTCTTCAACTCGTCGGCGGTTGGAGCGTGACCAGGTGTTTTTTTTTATATGCTAATGTTCCTCTAGAGAATTTTATTACGAACCCATTGAGACCAAAATGAAAGACCTAGGACAAAAATTGAGGTGACCAGAGTGAAAATAGTGAAAACATTTTATCCCGTTTGCGTGCTCCCGGGTAACTCGTTCGCACTTTCTCTGTTTGCTGCGGGTAATTAGCCGGGCTTTTGGAGTTTATATGCATTTAGTGCTGTAGAGAATTTTATTGCGAACACAATGATACCAAATTTATTCTCGTAGAAGGAGAATTGAGGTGACAAAGTTGAAGAGAGTATACACTTTTCGGAATTAACGCGCGCTTCCGTGACACGCTGGGGCCCATATCGCCCTGTCGAGGGGTGGCGCGCGGGGTGAGCGAAAGTGTTAATGAAGAAAATATCTTTGAATAACGAGATATCTATCTCGGTATTAAGCAGGTAAAGTGTGTTTTAAGCTGAAGTTATTTCAATCAATGTAGGTGAAAGTAACAGTTTTGAACAAAATATGACAACATACATTGTACAGTATGCTGAATGTTATAAAAATTGTTTTGTGATGCCCTCTATATTTATGGAGTTTTGTTATAACCAAAATGTGTAAGTTATTGGCATCTATATTTTTTGGCCTCAAAAGTATTTATATTTTTTTTTTTACCCAATAAATGATGGTACAGTATTTATATTTGTTCACATTTTTTGAGATATATACAAGAGTTGTTACATTCTTGTAGAGCCACTAGTACACGTAGCGTTTCGGGCAGGTCCCTGGAATACGATCCCTGCCGCGAAGAACCGTTGTTACAACCAAGTACTCATTTTACTGTTGAGTTAAACAGAGGCTACAGTTAAGGAATTGCACCCAGTAAATCCTCCCCGGCCAGGATACGAACCCATGACAAAGCGCTCGCGGAATGCCAGGCGAGTGTCTTACCACTACACCACAGAGACTGGTGTTCACATTGATGGCATTAAAATGTATTATCTTGTACATATCTAAACTTCAAGTATTATCCGTGAAAATATTGAGGTTGTGATCTGGTTAACACTAAACGTTTGTGCCATCAGTTGTGGAGATTCTCCTTTCTCAGATAATTTATTTACACCTTCATTTCCCAGACTCTTCTCTTAGCACTTGTGCCACTGCCAGCATGCATTCTTTTATTGTCAATCATTATTTATGTGGGTTTCTGTGTTCTGTCACAAGAAGGCAGAAAAACACGGCTAGCTCACAAGGTCAAGGTTTCGGGATTTCTAACAATCAATAATGGTTGCAATATATGGCATAAGTTTTATCCATTTTTATATAATATTTAAATGTTTTACTGTACAGTATTTGCATTTTTATGAACATTGGCCGCTCTTTATTGTTCAGTTGCTCCACAGATAAGCCCCATAATTCGGAATTTGTTCAAATTAAAACAGTTAAGTTGATTACTATTTTGGCATTTAGCCAGGGAGTGGAGCTGCTGTACCAATGTCTGAATTAGGCAGCAGTGAGTTTGTGCAAATTTTCAGAAGCACACGTAACATAATTTTGTCTCGTAGGATGGTGCAGCTTCAACTCCTCCAGAAATGTGTTTTGAACGGTACATGGCCAGGCTTCTTTATCAACCTGGTGGCATGTCATCTGACGGAACACCCGGACCAGCAAATGTAGCATGGATCAATGCTCTAGCTGGGCGAATCTCTTATGATTTTTTACGTAACCCATATTGGGCTAACAAGGTGAGTGAGTAACATGCATTACTAATAATAATACAAATTTATTGCAGATTACAGTGCCACTTGCTATACATTATACGCTGGAGATAATATATTCTTACGGAGCCACTAGAATATGAGTTCTTAACGTGGCATCTGTGGATGTTTACTGTACAGTATCTACTCGATTTAATGGCCTATATGGGGCTATACCCTGGTAGTTACTTCCGGAGCTCCGGTATTTCCGAAGTTAAGTGTCGGTAATATTTCGAGTAACATTCAGGCAAGATATATTTTGTACAGACAGCCACTTGGTCCACCACTCTAGTGTCTTCTACCCTGTGACGTCACAGATTCACGGTACATTGTTTTGAATTGTCATGAGGCAGGAGTGTTCATTCTGTGACTTTGTTGGACATGTCTGCACAATCAAGGAACATCTGTGCACCATGTTGGCTCCAAATGCACTCATTGTGTCGGTGATGGCTGACTGGTGGGTGGATGGGCAGGCGGGCAGTGAGGAAGAGGCTGAAATGTAGGCAGGCAGGCAGCAAGGCAGGAAGAGGCTGGGAGGTTGGGAGGGAGGGAGGGAGATAGAGAATGGATGGAAGGATGGATGGATGGAGGGATGGATGGATGGAAGGATAGAGGGAGGGAGGGAGGGAGGGAGAGAGGGATGGAGGGATGGAAGGATACATGGATGGATGGAGGGATGGAAGGATACATGGAGGGATGGATTGATGGATAAAAGGATGGATGGAAGGATAGAGGGATGGATGGATGGAAGGATATAAGGATGGATGGATGGATAAAAGGATGGAGGGATGGATGGATAGAGGGATGGATGGAGGGAAAGAGGGAGGGAGGGATGGATAGATGGATGGGTGCTGCGTTGAATTACGTGACCAGTGAAGCAGAGAAAGTGTGTGTATGGGATGCAGGGGTGGGGGAGGGACGAACTCACTCCGATAACCCTAACGCTATCACACTCGACCCTGTTAGCCAGATGTGTTTCTTAAATTCTGGATGTACATCATCATATATTTTTGTTTACAGATTTTGTTTAGTAATTTATTAGGATAATAAAAAGTTATAAAAATCCTTGTTTCATGATTGCTTTATTGTACTAGATGGAGATTCTCCAGGCTGTCTGGCTGGCAATCTACTGAGCCACCTCCCAGAAGGGTCTCTTTGGAGGGGGGGGGGGCTAGAAGTGAGGGTGTGGGGTAGAGTTACTTTGAGGGTGAGGGTGTATGGGAGAGGTGCATTGAGGGTGAGGGTGTGGGGGAGAGGTGCAGTGAGGGTGAGGGTGTGGGGGAGAGGTGCAGTGAGGGTGAGAGAGGGGATGATAGAGGTCGGCGGCTTGCTTGCCACGTAAGGACCCCCTGCTGCCGAAACAAACCCAATACCGATCTGCGGTTCTATCGCCCGCCAGACCAGTATATGAGGCTCCAGATACCGGTCTCCCAAACCGGTCGTTATTTCCGGCAGATCGGTAAATAAGAGGCCGTTAAATAGAGTAGATACTGTATTCATATTTTGTGTATGTCATATACTGTGTGAGGTCATCAATTTTCAATAAAATAAAGTATGTTCGTTGCATGCAGAGTTGTGTTCATATGCATTTTTCTAGGGTGGAATCCATAGCTTTCACCAGATTTGAAAATCTGGTGAATTTTCAGATTTCCCCATGACAAAAAAAAAAAAAAAAAGTTTTCAATGTAATGAAACTCTAATTTCTGGGTGAGCCCCTGTGGCTCTCTGAAGCTTTCACACCGACTGATAGCAGAGTTCATATTGGTCTACTGGGGACGAACCAGAACCCGGACCTCTGAGAGGCACAGGGAGCAATGGCACTATGGAAAGCTTTTATGCAAAGTTATTCATGTTTGCCACCACCAAGGAAAGGCACCCAAGAAGGTTGTGCAATCCACATTGCACCCCACCAGCCAAAAACACACCCTACAAAGTCCAAGACAACTGGCTTACCTGAAGGGCAAAGGTCACCACACGCAAAGAGACCCCTTAAGGCAGTGAAATCCTGAACACTCCAGAGAAGATAACCCTGACAGTGCAAGAGATGCAGTTAGGGCGCACACAGGGAAGGTAACCCTGAGCACATGCAGCTCCAAGTACACTAAACTTCTGGCTCACTTTACACAACTGTACACAGGAAAAACCACACAGGCAAAACAACACTTTGGCTAAGACAGGAGACTGGAGACAGAGCAAACCGAGACCAGGCACAGTTTACATCAGCATTAGAACTGAAAGTGGAGCAGCCAGCTGACCTGGTCTGCCTTACTCCTCACAAACGAAGTAGGGGGAGGCGGGGCGAACTAGTTTGTGCTAGTTTCACAAACGTTTTATAGTTTTCATTGTTGGACAGGGTCTTGTTTCCCCCTGATTTCCTGGGGCCTTTCTTTGGTGTTGACAGATATTAATAAACTTGTATAAACAAAATTCATAAGTGCCACTGCTTCCTTCACCTCTGTTGAGGGGGCTAGGTTTGGCGTGTAGTCCCTAGTAGGCCAAATAAAACTCCGCAACTGATTGCCCCCTCGTAGTCTGGCACTATATCAGATACAGTAGCTTCAGGAAGCCACAAGGGGCTTCCCCAGAAATGGTTAAGAACCACAGCACTAGAATATGTAATTTTGATGGATCTTTGCTTATTTAAAAGACCATGCATGACAGTATGTTGCAATAATTATATAAAAAAGATTTCCCTGTGGCATGAAGTTTTGAGTGTTTTACTGATAACATTAGCATCTGTTGCTATTCAAAATACAACCCAAATTGGGTGACTTATTCAACTTTGCCAACAAGAGACGTGTAAACTTTTAAATTTGGCACAGATTGTTCGATCTATAATGAGATTTAACCAACCATTTGTTAACAAGGTATATAGTGATGACATTTTGGGTTTAACATGATAGAATTTCAGTTTTGTGCTAGTTTTCTTGGCGATATGAGTAGTCAGTACCAAGGGTGTCATGTTATCTTCCTAACTGTCTTCAGCTGCTGTTTACAGAATGTGTATGGAAAGACCAAGATAATAGGCATTTTACTATAGCTATTTTTCAGGTTCAAGAACGTGTTCAGCGAAAATTAAGCAAGCTGCACGTCCCATACTTCATAGGAGATCTTGTGGTTTGTGGAGTGAATTTGGGATCAGCCACTCCTCAGCTGTGTGCTGTGGGGAGTCCACAAGTAGACTCAAGGGGCCTTTGGGTTGACCTTAATATTGAATATTCTGGTAATTTCACAATGAGTTTAGAGACAAAGTTGGACCTTATGAAACTTAAACGTACATCTGGCTTGGAGGGCAACACTCCAAATACATCCTCTCCTCCTAGTCCAGCAGAACCTGCACCACATGCAGGGCAACGAGTATACACTCGATCCCCTTCTTCTGACCGCCTTCTTCGTAATCTTCACTTTGATACTGACACAGATGATAGTGTAGAATCCTCAAGCGAAGAAGAAGGAGAGGAGGAAGGTCTAGCAGCTGAGGCTGGGCTTCCTGTTGGTGGCAGTGGACCAACTTCTCGACGGTTATTAAGACTTGTTGATACTGTGGCTGGATCACGCTACTTTCAGCAAGCTGCCGAATCTAGGTTACTGCAGCGAGCCCTTCAGGGTGTGAGTAACACACGAATAGAGCTCAGTGTCGAGGTACGGCGACTCGCAGGAACCTTGGCATTGAACGTTCCTCCACCTCCAGCTGACCGCCTCTGGTATGGGTTCCGTGGAGTCCCCGAATTGGTCATGGTGGCACGGCCCAGACTTGGAGATCGCGTTCTTAACTTGCCTTTCTTAGTAGAATTCATACAGAAGCAGCTGAGGGTTATATTTGAGAAAGTATTTGTACTTCCTAATATGGATGATATTGTGATTCCCATAATGTCTCCACTCCTTCCTGGCCAGTATCAACAGCCCAGGCCACCCTGGGAGTCGTCACATGTTCCGCTCACCACCACTACTTCAACAGACACAACTTTACCTGTCCTCTTTAAGGCCACAAGCCCTAGTGTATTAACTCCAACTGTCAAATTCACTCCTTCTCCACATTAGTAGTACTGAAGTATAGTACGGATTATATGTAAAATGTGATATATATCAACAAACTGATTATATCTTGTTAACACCGGATAGATATGTAATCATTAGCAGGTTCCATATGTGTAATTATACTCCTTGCTGATGCAGTCTTAAAGAATTTAATTTTTGCTCATTTGTTTAGCAGTGAACTTTCTTTTAATTTTTATAGGGAAAAAATGTCTCTGGGAATCTGGAGGCTTCTTAAATATCTAGTCTGTTGTATATCTACAAATACTTTTATCAAAGAAAATTTAAAGTTTTTTTTACGTTGATGGTGAAAATGGTGAACAACACTATTAATCTGGTGCTACAGTAAGAGAATTTGAGGTATATATAGATTTTTTTTAACAAATGTGGAATGGAATTGGTCCTCTGTAGCAGAATGGGAAAATGTTCTGTAATATATGAAGTTCAGAGTTGAAGGAAATATAAATTTCAATACATTTAAGCAATGCACATATCCCTTGTAAATAATGTAGGAGAATACAAAATACAAGTTCGGCTAACAAAAGTTAGCTATTGTATGATTTGGACTGAATCACAAGTTTCTTTTTTTTTTACTTGTATCATTATTAAACATCTGCATTTTAGGCACAGTTTCTTTTTTTGTATTTGAACATGAGGGATGATTGGAGACATTGCAACATGCAGCAGAATTAAACTACCTGATACAGTTAACGATTGTCAGGAATTGGGCATTTTTACACTTGAGTTCGGCAACATTTTAAAATAAATTTACACGGTTTCAGACTCAAATACCTGTAGTTTAATTTGAAAGTACTAGTTTTTTATTTTTTAATGGGGCATTAAAAACTTTACCGATGCATTGGTGGAAAAAATTTTGAGCACGTTTGAAAGTGTTGGCAAGTTGTAGCCCAAGTTGTGATGTGAGCATATCATAAGGACGGCAGATATTTGGCACAATTGCAGCTGCAGTCGATTTGGTATTTGGAACTGTCGTAGAATACTGCCACACGTTCAGTTGTACTTACTGCTAAACAATAGTGTAATGTGGCTAGCACTCTTGTGTTAGTTATGTTGTCATCTGTCCAAAGACATGAGTGCTTGTAATGTAGAGGGCATCGCACGCTGTGATGGTTCACCTTGAATCATTGGCAGTCTAAACTGCTTTAAATGTTGTGTGAATGGTTGAGTGGATTTAAGAGGTAGAGATAAATTGATATATTATTTTTGCACGGTCAAAATATTACACTAGTAGTTGAATATTGCCAGTAGAAGTGTGTACTTCCATTCTTTAACAAATAAAAAGTTAAAAAAAAAAATAAAAAATATGGATTGTAATAGAAAATGGAGACATTTTAAAGTTAACCAATCATTTCATTTTAATAAAAGGATGAAATAAAGTTACAAGTAAACTTTATTAATTGGGATCATTAGGAAATTAGACATTAATTGTAGATAGATAATTTTTTTATGTAATTATTCTCTCCTCTATATATTTTATTACATATTGAAAGTGCTTACAAATTAATATGACTTAGTATATTTAAAATGTAAAACATTCTACACTTTATTTTAATTTTGGCCCAGTTACAATAAAGCAAAGTGAAATAAATGTAAGGCTCTCCTGTGGAAGTGCATCTTGGTTAATCCGTACTCACACATTACTCAAAATTTACATCATGAATTACGGGCTATTCATGCCCGTGCCACCTCTTGGGTGGCTTAATCTTCATCAATCAATCTACATCATGAACAAAAAGGTAAACAACATACAGCTGACTATATTATCAAGTCATTGTTTGGGCCGTTAAATTCTAAAGAAACTTGTGATCGTGTTTTATATAAGCATTACTTTATGAATAGTCAAAACTTTCATTAATTTATTGTTTTTAGACTACACGATGAAATGGAGCACAGAATTGTGATGTCAATGTGTACATTGTCCTGATTTGTAGCCAGGTTATCTTGAGATGATTTCGGGGCTTTAGTGTCCCCGCGGCCCGGTCCTCGACCAGGCCTCCACCCCCAGGAAGCAGCCCGTGACAGCTGACTAACTCCCAGGTACCTATTTTACTGCTAGGTAACAGGGGCATCAGGGTGAAAGAAACTGCCCATTGTTTCTCGCCGGCGCCCGGGATCGAACCCGGGACTACAGGATCACAAGTCCAGTGTGCTGTCCGCTCGGCCGACCGGCTCCAGGTGTTAGTAGCTCTGGTTGTGAATGATGCCAGGTGCTAGTAGCTCTGGTTGTGAATGATGCCAGGTGCTAGTAGCTCTGGTTGTGAATGATGCCAGGTGCTAGTAGCACTGGTTGTGAATGATGCCAGGTGCTAGTAGCACTGGTTGTGAATGATGCCAGGTGCTAGTAGCTCTGGTTGTGAATGATGCCAGGTGCTAGTAGCACTGGTTGTGAATGATGCCAGGTGCTAGTAGCTCTGGTTGTGAATGATGCCAGGTGCTAGTAGCACTGGTTGTGAATGATGCCAGGTGCTAGTAGCTCTGGTTGTGAATGATGCCAGGTGCTAGTAGCACTGGTTGTGAATGATGCCAGGTGCTAGTAGCACTGGTTGTGAATGATGCCAGGTGTTAGTAGCACTGGTTGTGAATGATGCCAGGTGCTAGTAGCTCTGGTTGTGAATGATGCCAGGTGCTAGTAGCTCTGGTTGTGAATGATGCCAGGTGCTAGTAGCACTGGTTGTGAATGATGCCAGGTGCTAGTTGCTCTGGTTGTGAATGATGCCAGGTGCTAGTAGCGCTGGTTGTGAATGATGCCAGGTGCTAGTAGCACTGGTTGTGAATGATGCCAAGTGCTAGTAGCGCTGGTTGTGAATGATGCCAGGTGCTAGTAGCTCTGGTTGTGAATGATGCCAGGTGCTAGTAGCGCTGGTTGTGAATGATGCCAGGTGCTAGTAGCGCTGGTTGTGAATTTTGTTAAGTGCAAGCAGCCTTTGTTTAACACTTAGAAAGCAGTTATCATAAAGTGTTGATTCACAGGGCAGTGCATTATTATCATGTGAAGATTTACAAAATTATTGTCAGGGTTTTACATGTATGATTCAGATATGGATATAGTAGGTCTATGGAGGTTATGGAGTTTACCTTGACCCATCTTGAGGTTATCTTGAGATGATTTCGGGACTTAGTGTCCCCGCAGCCCAGTCCTCGACCAGGCCTCCACCCCCAGGAAGCAGCCCGTGACAGCTGACTAACACCCAGGTACCTATTTTACTGCTAGGTAACAGGGGCATCAGGGTGAAAGAAACTCTGCCCATTGTTTCTCGCTGGTGCCCGGGATCGAATCCGGAAACACAGGATCACACATCCAGTGTTCTGTCCGCTCAGCCACCGGCTCCCCCATGAACAAATCCTGCTTCCATTTCGTTGTACAAATGTGGTTATCATTGTGAATGTTATTAGGGGAATGCAGGGATCGCTGTATGATTTAAACAATTATTGTCTGGGTTTTATATGTGTGATGCAAATATGAATATGTAAAAGCTCTTTGTTGATGTCAATAAAAAAAAATGATAAAATAGTGAAACGTCGGAGAATAAATCAGGAGGTGTCGGCAAGTCTAGCACCAGGCATTGACAGGTGTCGGGCGTAGACCTAGTGTCTCCACCTGAAATTATTAATATTCACTTATTTTCATGTTTATTCTTATTTTCTGCATACAAAATAATAATTCTACAGTATAATGATTTTTTTTGTGGGGGGGGGGGGGGGGCAACAATAGGTATGACCATTTCTCCATAGCTGCTTTCTAAGGGTTAAATCTTTATTAATCAAGGGTGATTGTGCAATCTCAGAATTAATATGTTGTATGGTTTCCTATACTGTAGTCGGGAACATGGAACCTGTTTAACTGTGGTCTCGCTTCATGCAGGTCGGCATTTAATCCCGACTGTCAAAGTCATTGGGCACCATTCCTTCCCCCCATCCCATCCCAAATCCTTATCTTGACCCCTCCAAGTGCTATATAGTTGTAACGGTTTGACACTCCCTTATAGTTCAATTCAATTCCCCTTTTCCCCCTAAGCCAACTACAATTCCGACTTCCCGCAGAATGCAACCAACCCACAATAGTTGACCAACTCCCAGGTACCTATTTAGTGGTAGGTGAACACATATATCAAACGAGATGAAACGGTGCCTAAAAGTCTGTCCGTCCACGGGACTCGAACCCAGAACTTCTTGGTTGTGACCAGACTGTGCTGACCGCTGCACTAAAAGACACTTGCAGAATCTTTTACCCCTAAACTGTGCAGCTATTTAAAAGTTCTATGTCGAGATGTTCATGACTAAAACAAAATAAAACTGGAAAAAAATTGGATATGGGGGATTGAAGATGAGGAAATCACATGTGAAGATATGGGAACAAAAGTAATTATGTGATTGGTGAGCAGGAAAAATGGCAGATGGTAATTGGTGCAGTGTGCAACCTGTCCTCTTAAAAAGAACGCCGCTTTTGGCTGTTTGCCCGTATGGCCGAATATGGACGTAATTTGAAAATGAAAAAAATTAAAATAAATTTGGGATTTTTTTTTCAACAGTAAGTTAAGGGTCCTCCGATAGGTTAGGTGGGCAGGAAATTCTCATAAAGTTTCAAAACGGTATGAAAAACGTTAATGGAAAGTTGCCTCTTCTAAGCTTGCCGAGTAATCCGGACGACTCAAATAGAAAACGAAATAGTACGTCACTTTTGTGAGTCTATTTCATTTCAAATTACGTCCAAATTTGGCCATAGCGCCACGCATACGGGCCAAAAGTGACGTTATTTTTAAGAGGACGGGTTGCAGTTTGAGGGTTAATGCAAAATATATGCTGGCATTACATGTTTAGTTCTGTAATTATTAATGGAAAGAAAATTGTATTTAACATGGTTATGAGTTTGGAATAGATAATACAGTACTTGGTTATTCATTTTTCTTTCTGAATATAAATGGTCGGTATACATTTTATACAATAGAATTATTTAATGGAGCTTGAGGATGTTTAGTTGTTGTCAGTGTTGGTGGGAGGAAGATGTATCACATTATCGTCCCATTTAATATTTGGTTTCAAATTTCGGTAGTTTATTATTTAACTATAAATAAAGATTCAGGTATAGGATCATTTGTAATGAAAATAAATTGTATAAAGTTTCTCTCTAGTACAATGGTACCTTCGTTTACGATCGTAATCCGTTCCCAGAGACACGTCGTCAACCAAAAATTTGTCAACTAAAATGAATTTTCCCATAAGAAATAATGTAAATTGAATTAATTCATTCCACACCCCTAAAAATATTAACTTAAAATACATTTTATACCGAATAACACTTATTTTGTATTTCTACAAAACAGTATGTATATCTTACCTTGAATGAGGACTCTAGTTGGCGTATAGAAGACGGTGAGGAGGGGAGGAGAAAGTTTTAGTGTTTAGAAGGGGGGACCCTTCCATTATAACATAAGGCAGTGATGACTTCTGGGGTACACTCTCTCCTATATTTTGCCTGCATACCACTAGGACCTGCTTGTGGCTCACTGCTCATTTTTCTCACTGAAAACCTGTCTAGCGACACTTGTTTTTCCCTACGTTGTAACACTTGTCTGAAGTGAGACATCACATTGTCATTAAAAAC